GGATGGCAGAGGAAGAGAAAAAAATGTCGAAGGGGATGACGGAGAAAACGAAGGGATGGTTAGCCTCGTGAGGGGAGAGAGAACGCGACCGGGGTGCGGATGGTTAGGAGGATAAAAGTAAAACAAGAGTGGCGCCGTTATAAACACGTACGACGTATAAAGCTCGCTCGTACAATCTATACTTCGCGCGACGCAACGAGCACGGATAAGATCGGCGAAGTCGAGCCCGGAAAGACCGGAGGTATGTAGGCGGCGAAAATATAATTAGCGCAGCGTGGTCGTGCCGCTGTTGCCTCGTCCGTGTCCCCCGTGCTATTTGTCGCGTTTCCACCCTCAGTCGCGGCGGTAGAAACGCGACAAATCAAGCGCGTCGGCACACTCGCGCGCGCGCGCAGGTAAAAACGGCGAAATACGCGTGTATAGGTATAACAAGCGAATCATTACCCGTCGGGGCACGGGGGGGAATGACCGGGAGTCGGGCCGAAATGTCAATGGAACACGGTATCGGTTACTCCGAATCCGCGATGCAAAGGACAGTTAAAATGAGAAGAGACGGCCAACGGCCGGGCTAAATCGATGAATGTTTAACCGGTTCTTGAATATAGTTAGTTCTTAATTATACATCCGACACGCTGGAAATACTAATCGATCTCTGATAATGCAACGAGGTAATGTATCAGAATTAGATGGATTCGCGTCGTTTATTCCGTGGAAAAGCGAGGAACGGCACGGAAAGAATGCAGGGATCCACATGCGAGATGGAAACGCCGCACGGAGAAAAGAAAAAAAAATATCGATGCGCAATTATGCGCTAGTCGTGAGTAAAAAATGCGTGTCACCGGCGCGGGAGGGGTTAATATAATTGAATCGCGAATCTGATCGGTGCCGATGTACATTTTTTTCTGCCCTCTTTATAAATAGTAACTTGGCCGAGGGACATCACCGAATCGTTATTTCGGGTGCAAACGCTGAGAACGCTTCCATTTTTTATGCCGTCAAATTGCACATCATGTGATGAAACAAAAGCGAAGAAAAAACACATTTGTATTTTACGGGTCAGATATTTTCGACGGGAACGACCGCACGGACGTTTTTATACGTCTTCGATCGCGCGGAACGTTCACCCATGTTGCATCGCACGATGATGAGCGAATAACAAAATTCCCCACGGTAATTAGTACGATTTGCCGTGCAGTGTATTATTGCGCGCAAACGTCGAGTATATAATAATAACTAGAAATTAATAAATTTTACACCTGGCCATGTTGCCAAATACTTTGCCTCATTTGCAAATGCGCACACGATTAATATGATACTCGAATCAAGAGGACTAATGATATTTCTAACAAAACAACATCGAGTTTTATGCGTGCCGCGCGTATGTACGCTCCGGAAGAGGCAAAATGAATTAAACGGCGCACAGCTTTGCGGATAAACTCGGTATTCCCATCTATATATATATATATATATATATATATATATATATATATATATATATATATATTATTCGCGGGGCACACAAATATAAACTAGCGCGCATACCATACACGTGCCCTGGATATCGCGTGCGCGCGCGCGCGCGAGTCCGCGATTCACAAAAGAATAAACACTCGCCGCCTCGTGGCCCCGGCAATTCAACGCTCGAACAGTTCATAATAGTTAATTAAAGCGGATCGGGCAATTCCATTAAAACTTGGAATCGGCGTACCGCCGATTTTATCGTGCGCATTTTATACGGCTCGCGGATAACTGAAATATTCACAAAGGATACACGCCGCAGCGCCGGCAAAACGATAAAGACGCGACCGGGTTGTAAAACGCACGCGCCGCTTTGACGTCGATTGCGTTTTGCAGTTTACGCCGTGCTCAGATATCGCGCGTTATCATCGATACGCGGCCACGTCGCACATCGGCGCCCCGACAACGAAGCGCCGTTGATTGTAACCACTTACGGAACACGAGCGACAGTCGGACTCGATATATCCCGGCGCGATGCATATCTTTTATCAACGTTTGACGCGGCTGAAACGAAGTCCAGATCAATGAAATCGATTTAATACAGTCGCCCGGACCCCGAACCGTGAATCGCGCGACTTTCAGCCGGGATGCAGGCAGGCGTGACGATATATCGTCTTATCGGATTAGACTTGTCGATTGAATTCCGCGCGAGTTTAGGTTTAGCTTCAGCTTCGGGTTTAGAAATCTCGACCGGATATCTCTCTGCGGTAGCAGCAGCAGACATAGCACCGGCTCGACTTTTCCGTACCGCACCTTCGTGTCGGCCGTTCTTTCTCTCGCACCTGTGAATTCATTTGCTACGTTTTTCTCCGGGAACACGTACCGCCAGGATTTACTGTTCCTCAGTCTTCGAATTAAATTCACAATCTTAGAAAAAAACGTGTAATTTGATCACGTTCAATTGGAAGAATCAAGCGTCACAGTAGTGGTGCGACGCCAAGTACGTAAAAAAATAGCAGCCGACCAGCGTCGAGGGGCTACCAATAGCTTCACTGGTGTTTTCGGGGTCGACCGATTTAACCCGAACGAAATTTCTCGGAAACGCAAACTGTGATGCAAAATCTGATGACACTTCTGTTATATGACGTGGATACGAGCTTCCGATTGCAACCAAGTTGAGTAAGATTGGCGCAGTCAGCGCTGAGATCACGATGTCTCGTCTGTGAGAATCGAAATATTTCCCGGCCGGCTGAAATTCAGTCACACTGACATGCGTTCGCACGCACACATGCAGAGCCTGGGTGTCCATCAAGGCGAATTCGCAGCGCTTTGGTCCGTAATGGCTCCAGCAGACCAGCGCGATGCGCGACGGTGATATGCGACACGCAACGCATGATATCCAATGAAGTAGAGCTCTTCCGGAAAAGCTATACGCTCATTGAATATCACGCATCGAGTGTCGTGTGTCACGTGCATAGACACAGGCCGGTATTCATAATCGGATCTTATACTGAAGATCGTCTTAAGTTCATCTTCCGTCTGTAAAGATTGAAAAAATGTAAGGAAATTGATTTTCTTACTTTCTAAAGTAGAACGTCTAAAATCGTTTTAAGTTCAACTTCAGATGGTTCGTACCCAATAAAATGAGCAGTACTGCTCATTTTATTGCGAGCCAAAGATGTCGAATGTATCGAAGTGCTGCTAGGCTATACTTTCCGTCGTATCTGCGCTTTCTCACATTTTAACTCGGAGAAATCATATTTGCTCATCGAACTATTTTTAGAATTCCTCTCGCGAACACATCAAGCCTGTACAGAGCCGGCAGGTACCGCGGGAAATTTTGCCTGACTGCATATTGGTGCGCCTGACAGTATTCATAATTTATAAATCTTTAATTAGCCCGATTGCAAAATTTGCTGATTTGGAAATTACGTTTCAACGATTCGATCCGATTTCATTCGATTCGGATGAAATTTCGTCGATTTGATTCGATTCGGATTCGAAAGTGAAAAATGATATTCGATTCGGTTCGACATAAAAGAATTCGTGATTCTCCACGGTTAACACATTGTTAACATGTTTTGGCCGAAGTTGTGACCCATTAATGGGGATAATATTTCGATTCTTCGTGATTAACTCGAAAATAGGAAATTAGAAGTGTTGCTCGAGTGATGCACAGTCTGCAGACACTTGCACGTTGCCATCTTTCGATAGAATCGTCTACAGAACGATTACTACCTACCAAACCTCGTTTAACTCAAGATTACATAATAATAAGATCCGACGCGGTTGAACGCGTAGCGTAAGATACATTGGCGCCGATCTTATACACACCTACCAGTAGAATCAACTTGAGATCAGCATCTCCTTACCTTCGAATTTCCCTCGTTGTCGATAGCGAGATTTACCGCACTGCCGGATACCGGCGAGAACAAAACGTCGTTCGCTGCGTCGGCGGATCCCGCTCGACTTCGATCGCGAAAAGGTGACGGGTCTCGATATATCCACGTACCGGGGATGTGTGCGTGAAACAATAACGCGTGTCAGTTCTGACGACAACGCGGGGACGATATGCCGCCGCGTCTACGTTCACCGGCTATAAATGCTCTTTAAAAATTACCGATACCGCAGCGACGAGGCGTGCCGGTTTCAGGACGACTTTACATCCAACCCCGTTCGGGAGAGCATCGTGTGCGCGTTCTCCCACGACCTTTCTGCTGGCAGCTGGCCGCGTTAAATGCGGTAACATTGCGACGCGCGAACGCTTTGAAGCCGATCGGTTATTCACGTCACGGAGTTCCGAAGAGTCTACATCCGAGCGATAGAGAGAGAGAGAGAATGAATAATGTCCACACGCACGTTGTTCCGGTGACGTCACGATATATCATGCATCGTCCCCGCGACGTCTCTCGTTCGCAAGACGGAGTATGACGCCAACGTCCGAAGTCGGGCACCGATGACGTCCACGCTCGGGGGTCTATAGCCTGTCGCTCGCGTCGCTGCACATAACCACGCCGAGTCCGCCGTAATCGCGCGTAATTATTCAAACGGAGGATACGCCGGCATTAAGGTTGCTCTATCGATCGAACGATGCTCGAACGGAGCCGGCTCGCTCGAGCGAGAACGCTCCCGGCGCGGAGTTCAATCCTTTTTCTCGCGGCTCGCTGATTGCGTTTTCGCGCGCCACGGGCTCCGCGAATTTAATTCCCCTCCGACGAGGAGGAGAGAGCTCCGGGAAGCAGCCGAAAATCAATTGTTCGCGAGTTGTCTTCGAGCGCGCGGACCGCCGGAAATCCCGCGACAGAGTCGGGCTTACCTGCTGTGGTAGACGGCTTACCCGAGGCCCTCCTTCCCGTCGAGGACGCGACGCTGTTCGAAGACTGGTTCAAAGCCCATAAGTATCGCATTGTCTCTCTCTCTCTCTCTCTCTGATAGGCTCCGCCGCCCTTCGCCCTTCCTGCCTTCTCCTCCCGCGTTCTTACGACGGGGTCTTCATTTTTCCGGGATCTTGGATGGGCGCAAATCAATGACATACGAATCGATCATTTATTAAAGCAAAACTTTATTATAGCAATAGTGAACAATGGATAACTATTAAAGATTTTTAACATGTTTTTTTTTTTTTTGATAAAAATAGCGATTGGATGTTTAGGTTTAGGTAATAGGTGAATATCTAAGAGGGTCTCTTATCGTACGAAATTCTTTGAACTAAAAGTTATCTACGATCGTGTCGTTAACGATGATAATCGCACGGTACGTGACGACGAGTCTGAATTTTTAGGCGGCGCGTACTGTGAATCGATCGATCGTGCGGTTGTAATTTGTACGCAATGGAGCGCGGATTAAAGTCGCGCCGATAAGCCGATTGCACAGATTCTCGCGAAACGATCCTGTATCGTAATCCTTAAAACGCAGAAATCGCAGAAAAAAAAAAAGAGATAATGAAAATATAAATCAAACCAACGTCTTCTCTTACGTATTTCTCTCTCTTTCTCTCCCTCCCTTCCTCTCTCTCTCTCTCTCTCTCTCTCCCTCCCTCCTCCACATTTCGAGTAGTTGCGCGGTACGCTTATGCCAAGTTTGGAAAGAGCTGTAATTTTGTTCGACAAATGCGGAGTGACGCGTGTGGCCGAATTAATTTGATCGATAAACATATCGCCCGGTGCGAACAAACAGAACGTTTGACAGGGGCGCTTCGAGACGAAGATCGATATTCACGAGTACGTTCCATAAACAAAACTGTCGATGCACCGCCCTACGGCGGTGTTACCTCGAGCGATGCGGATCCGTCCCTTGCTGTGCGGCTAAATTGAATCCCGTAAGCGGTATATCGGCTCCTTCGAGCTTCAAACGACTAACGGCGCGCTACTGCCCGGCCCTAATTTCCACCCTTGATCGCTCTGCTGTCGACAGGAACGAGCAGAATGCAAAGAAAGAAAGAAAAGGAAAGATAGAAAGAGAGGGAGCGAATCGAGAAGAATACGAAGGTGATGAAAGATGAGGTTTTTCACGATACGAATGAACTATTAAGAGATTAATAATCCATTCGTATCATGAAAAAGTCATCCCTCATCATCGCCGTATCCTTCCCTTGAGAATGCGCGAGCTCGCTCCAATTTTCTGCTTCGAGGTGTGGGATTTGTCGTAAAAGAAAGAAAAGAAGAAGAAGAGAGAAAAAAAAGGAAAGAAACGGGGGAAAAAGAGAAGCGTTACGGGAGATAAACGGTGCCGGAGACACGAGAGCAGAAAGAATGGCGGATGAAATTAAGAGAAAATCGGTCAACAGATCACATCCGCTCTTCCGCGTCCGTAATCTCTTCCGCGGGTGAAAGAAAGCAAAGAGTACACGGCGCCATGTGTATAGCGGAATCCCCTCCCCGTTCCATCCCTCTCCTAACCTCCCGAGAAACCAGAGTCTACGCGCCCCGATACTCGAAACCTAAGACAGTCGTTGGCTAGTCCTAGTGATATATTTTAATAAGTCGTTATCGGCTATCCTTTCTCCCTCCTCGTATCGTAGTAGTATGTCGTCGTAACTAATTATTCAGTTAGGGTGTCTCCTCTCCCCGCTTGCGTTCCCTTACGCGAATAACGCACCATAGTGCGTTATCCAAGATCGCTTCCGTATCGCATACATTAAACCGAGCTATAGTCTATCTCGCCTTCGCGGTCGACGTTGCGGGATAATCGACTGGGACTTCGTAGGCGCGCTCACGCGATGTCCGAAAGTGTTTTTCCTCGGGACATTAGGAACTCGTCTCTCGACGAGTGCCGAATGCTCGCCCTCGATGACGACCCCCGGGCGAGCGAATGAGTGAGCGTGCGGGCAGGTAAACCTCCCTTCTCCGTCGCCGATCGATCGTTCCGCTCGCGATATCCCGCCGCATCAATCGCATTCACGCAACATACAGTAATCTTACAAATAATATATCTAACAACTTTAGGTTCAACTTAGATTGCTTTCCGTGATCACGCCTACTCCACCCGAAGTGCGCCCTCGTGCACTCGCATCGCACACACAACGGACACGCGCACGCATGCATACACACAAACGCACGCACACGCATACTCTCTCTCTCTTTCTCTCGCAGTTTCGCGGACGCTCTTCGCGTTATCGTAACATGCATCTGACACGACGTGGTCGAGGACTGCACGACGGCGCTCTTAGCCAAAGTTCGTGTACTTTACTATTCTATCGTAATATTACGTTTGCTTTTACTCTCTCTCATAACTTTCTTTAGATATACGATAGGTAGGTTACTATTCTTTACGTATCAATCCGTGACATCACGCAATCACCTCGCGCGCGCGCTCGCGTTTACGTACACAATACCAGGCAGACGCACACGCACGCGATGTATACACGCTCACAGATACTCACACGCACATAACTCTCTCTCTCGACCGCTATGCCCTTTTCTACATCCAGACGCGTCTGCGATCCAATATTATGATCCGGGACGTCGTTTGATGGCTGGAGGAATTTCAGGATGATTTGTAGGTACAAGTGGACAAAGCAGAACAACGAGAAACGTCTCGTCGCGGTCGTCCCTCGCGGGAAACGCTCGCTGGGTTCTCGAGGTTCTCGGCGACGAGTCCTCTCGCCGATCCGCGCGATGCCGTGGCTGGCCGGTCGGTCTAGAAGTCTCTCGATTTTTTGTCCTTAACGCGAGTGCCTAGCCTTAAACTTACGTTATAATACTATTCAATACTTGTTGAAGCTCATAATAAGTACATACTCGAGGATTAGATTACCGATTATTGTGTTACTCTTACGTCTCCTAGGGCGTCGCCTCTCACCTCCAGGTATCTATACCCTCCCGTTTTATTTTCCGTTCTCTCGCGTCTCCCTCAACGCTTCACCGATCATTGCACCCCCCCGCCCTCCTCCGCCGCTTTCTATCCTATCGTTTTCCAACGCGCGCACCTACACCGCGTAGATTAGGTTGAGCCTATAGGTACAAAAAGTAAATCGTCGTCCGCGACGATCTCTGTACAGAAGTTTAATAACAGTCGCGAACCGTGCGCACACGCGCACGCACGTACGCCCGCACCTAGGCTCGATCGGACATCACTCTCCGTGCTGTACTATCCGAGGATACCGTGAACATGTATGCCGCGATACAAATGTCTATGTACAAACCTAAGGGCAAGAGCGAAACCATCATCGACCCGCAACCGGTCTTCCGGGGGGAAACTCACGAAGAAATTCATGTACAGAAAGGCGTCGCATGATCTCACCTACTACTCTTTATAGCCTACGATTTGTTTTTTTTTTTATTGTGTATGCTGATTATGGCTGGCTGGCTGGGTGCTCTCTCGATACGTCGATCGTTCGACAAACCGCGTTGCGCGAGCACCGGTAGACGTACTGCTGTGTTGATTACAAAATGTATTGTATGTCGATCTCCGAGGAAAAGTCGGACGGAGCTAACACGAACGCTAATTCCACTACAGTGTGAGCCTGCGTCATTTACAATGGACGATCGTTAAACGAGGACGTATGCATTCGTAAAATTAGCGGTGAAGCGCGTACGAAATCGAATTTTCCCGTGTTGTTTTCGCGCGTACTCGAAACTCGAAAAATATTCATTTACATGTTGTCTACACACACACACACACACGCACGGAGACAATTTCTCTCCCCATTTTATCTCCATTTTTTTTTTTCGTTACCGCGGTCAGTCAACTCGATTAGATGCAGATAGGCAATACTGACGGTAGATTAAAAACGTGTCGTCGCGTTTTAGCAAAGAGCCTTTTCTGCCAAGGTTGTTTTTATAAAAATATAACGCTATTATCTATGTACAGAGAGAATCCCGAAGTCAGAAAAACGTCCGTTCGCGGAGAAAGCTTTCTGGGCGGCGGTGAAAAGTCGAGACGACCAACAGAAAACTGTATCGGCGTCAACGGTGGAAAAAACCGTGAGAGGATCGGACCGACGATCGTTCATCGGTGCTTCGAAGAGTGTAAACGCCAAAACCAAAATGGTGCGAACCAAAAAGGGGGGGCATACGTCGAGATGAATTTTGCGATTTCGGGAAGCAGATTTCGCTAAATTACACCGGCGCGCCACTCTGCGCGGACTCAATCCGACGGTGTCGTCTAGGCGTGTAAACTATGCGCGCGCCGTGTGTACGCGTGAAAAGAAAACGAAAGAAAAATCGCGAATGCCGGCTCTCAGTAGCCCGCAATGGCGTCGAGTCCGGAAGTCGTCGAAACGATCGCTCGCCTCGATGTGCCCCAGCACCGCGTTCATCAGTGTGAGATGCGGTCGTTACGCAGCGGTTTGCGCAGCGTTACCGCGGGATGCAATGAGAGATCCGGCCGTGCTCATCGAAAACTAATAAGCAAACACGTATATCCTACACTAATATTAGACTTACCTACGGAAAGTGTACACGTGACTTCTAAGTACAGTAATATGTACAGTGCACCGGTCGCGTACACAGACGGGCGCCGAGCGCGCATCGTGGGCGCGTGAGCGCATTTCTCGTATGCATGCGTGTGTACGTGTGTGTGTGTATATATATGTCCGTGTATGTATGTGTCTCCGTGGGAGAAAGAATCAGATAAGGGGACGGGATTCGAAGGAGATGGTAACAGAGTGTCTGAGAGACCCCGGGTCTGACCTTACCGGTTTCCTGCGGAGAAAGCAGACCCGCGCGTAGCACCTTGATTGAAGGAGAATTCTCGACGATGACACCGCGCGGTCAGATGAGACGTACGAAGACGGCTCTCCGCCGAACCGAAGCGCGAACGGGTTCTTCTCGAGGAGCTTCCGCGCGAGCACGACGCGCCTCGGGGCGACGGCCGAGCGCCAACGAAAACCGCGACATTCTCGCGGCCGCCCTCGCTCTTCACAGGTGCGCGAAGACTAATGACGATGATCGGGTGAGACGGCGCGAAAGTTTCCGCGAACGAGAGAGACAACGGTTTAGCGGCAGCTCGCGATCGTCGAGATGCGATACGTGAAGAGGAAAATGAAGGAAACGGATGCGGAGGGAAGGGGGAGGGAGGTGTGCAAGTAGAAAATAGGCGTGCGCGCCGCAAAAGTGGCGAACGTGATATGGAAAGCTAACCAGTGTGCAGCGCGGCTCGCACGAAGGTCTCTAAGCCGATAATAATCTCATATGTAACCTGCGTGACGTCGTAAACGCGCCGTTGGCCACGTTTCGTTTTTCTTTTTTCTTTTTTTTTCTTCCTTTTCCTTCTGTTCTCCCTCCGACGTGACGTTTTTCCTTTCTTCCGTCGGCCGCGCGCCGTTGCGAGTCGACGCTTACCTCGCCTCGTTGGGAAACTCCACGCGTTGGCCAACCTCGACCTCGCTCCTCGGTGAGCTTCTATCACAGGATGCGAAAGACTGCAGGAGAACGCGCCTTTCTCTCTCGTCGGCGCGTCGCGCGCTTCATCTCATATCGGCGGCGCGCTCGATGATCGATATTTCATTACGGCGATATTTCTCATTATCGCGATCAACATTGCGTGTCCTTCGTAAACGGGAGACTCCGATGTCGTATATACACATTAATTCTCTCCGTCTAGCGTTGATCGAGAGTCCAGGAAAACAAGACCGCGCGACGCTTCTCCGTGCAACCTTCAGCATCGATCGGCCTCTCTCTCTCTCACGCGAGGAACCGGAACTCTACCCGCGATTCCCCGGACACAAAGGACGTAGTCCGTTCACCACGAAGAGCAGCAGCACTCACCGCGCTCATCGTATCGGTATTCACGGCGAGAACGGAAGGGTCACCCGTCGTCTCGACGCGAGACGTCGGTTCCTTCGCGGCGGCGGTTTCCGTCGTCATCGCTGAGAAAACACTCGCGCGCCGGCAAGGAGTCCAGTGCACACCTCTGGCTCGTACGCAACGTACAACACGTCTCTATTTACAGCGAAGCCAGTACGAAAATATACACGAACGGAAAAGTGTGGGCACGACGAGAACGAAATTGGAATATCCCCCCCCTCCCCCGTAGGTCACCGACCGCGGGGGACTGGCGCGAGCCGGCGTCGACTCTCGATGATCACTCGCGATCGGCGGCGCGAGACGAAAGGTAGTCTCGGAGCACACAGTGGCACTGATAGTACGCACGATCGATCACGCGTACGTCCTTTCACACTTACGTTCGCACCAGTTCGCTCGTGGACCGGTCTTAGTCGCTCGAGAGTCCTCGGGTGATGAGCGCGCCGAGCGCGGTGACGGGACCGGTCAATAGGAAGGCCAGGCCGACCCGGCCGGTGGTGATCCAGCCGTGGTTCCTCGGCGGGACGATTATGCGTATCATCGTGTCGTAATCTCGGCTCGACGGGGGACCCAACGATCGACTCCATCAGACGAGGGGAGTGCCGTACACCTCGTTCGTGTGTAGATTCTGATTACTGTCGTTCTGCCTGGAGGCGCATTGCTGTAACAGAAAGCGCGAAACATCGCGGCCGTGAAACGGGATGCGAACACGGCTCGAACGTGCGAACGCAGCGCGAACCACGCCATGTGTCGTCCTCGGGACGTGCACAAGGTTAGTAACATAGTCCGTTTTTACACATAAATTCATCTTAGGTTGATCTTCGAATGCTCCGAAGGCGATAAAACGATCAGTGCAGTATCTGAAGATGAATCCTAGGACGATTTTAAACATAAAAACGAACTATGACTACCTCAAATTGCGGCTCGATTCACGCTTACAGCATAAGCTGTAAGCGTCATTCTATTTCCTTCCGCATGTAATGAACGATAAAGATAGAAACGACGCTTATAGCGCTATAAGTATGAATCGGATCGCAGCCTTAGTCGACTGGTACATCAAACGTAATTCGTCGCACATGTCCAGGCTCCTACTTGAAGGACTCTAGGCCGCTAGACTTCGGTATTCGCTCGTGCGCGCGCGATAATATTTATAGAGCGTCGCAGCGGAGCGCCACGGTAATTTTATCGCGCGAATTTAATTGATTTCGATGCGCATAGGAGTCGACGTTGCATAATGTATAAAGGAGCCCGGAACGATCACGGAGTAATTCTCATTTACCGCTACCGAATCGCGAGTGCGCGCGATTGTATTTATCGATGCGCATTATCGATTTACGCGCTCGTGCGCCCGTAGGTCGTCCCCCCACCCCCTCCCGCTCTGCAATAAACTCTAGCCCGCCGTGTCGCGATAAATGTTTAACTTCCGTCCCGATATCTTGATGTGTGCATATACGCACGTATGGATAAATAAATATACGTAGAGGCTGAATTATGCGTCGCTTTGCAATGCAAATGTCGAGTGATTCGACGACGCCGTGTGACGTATGTATGTCGCGCGCGCGACAAACGAGACGATATAAATAGACGGGGATACGTGTCGCGTACACGACGAGGACAAGTTATTTCATTGGCGGTTAGAGACGAGGCAGGGCCACGACGCTCGAAGTAGTGTATCAGTCTAGTCGGGCTATAAATAAAAGGAGCGGTATAGAGGAAGAAGAAGGTACGGCGCGATAAATCGACTTACCGCTTGCTTCTTCTCCCAGCTCTTCATCGCCGACTTGTACTTCTCGAACTCGTGACACCAGTCCGAATAAATCTTCTGGTAGTCGTTGGACTTGGCGGGCGCCGAACATCTGTGCGCGTCCACGGTGATGTTGTACGAGCAGAGAAGAGCGCCGCCAAGCCAGCAATCGTATCTGCCGGCGTCCTGCTCGTTCACGCCGACGATCACCAGACCTTTCTCCGAGGTCTCGATGAATTTGTCCCCGCCGGCGCCGTACTTGTACGCGATCTGATAGCGTCCCTTCTCCTTGCTGTAATGATACCACCGGACCTCCTGGTTCGCCAGCACCTCCGGCATCTTCACGAAGCAGCCCAGATGCACGGACTGGCCCCACGTGACGACGAGCTTCCGCTTGCCGACGCTGCTGTCGCAAACGTCCGCCGTGCTGTTCGACACGTCCTGAAGGAGTCTGCGCGGCAAAAAGGGGAAAACAAAGTTCGCGGGCGTCACGCCACGTGCGACAATTCCATCACTCGCGACCGCGTGATCCCGGAACGGTCGCGCGCGTGCACGGGAATTCTCGGTGATTTTATTTCAAAACATTTCGCGGGAATTGAATTTTGATGCGCCGGAAAAAAATACACGCAATTTCCTTTTTTCCCCTACTTTGCCCCCACCCCCCCTTTTTTGCCCATTGTGAATTTACAAAAATATTTCGTTTCGCCGGCAAAAATGAATCCGCGCTAACCGAGATATATACGACGCATAAATTCGACACGAGCGCTTTTATTTCGGAATTCGTGCGTCATAATTTCGTAATTAAATCGCTGAAGTCTGAAGGAAATCAAATGTATTTCACGTTTAACCCTTTACAGTGAGCGCGCGCGAAAAATTATCGAGATAACAAATCGCCCCGGTTGTGATATTCACACAATCCCGCAGTCGCATCACGCTCGCGGGAGGATACAACAGGCACTTACCCCGGTTGGTAGGGCTTGCACGTATTCGTATCCTTATCCCATCCGCAGTACGGGTCATGGACGCATCGCAGACAGTTGTCGTATCGCCGAGTGCACATTACCAGATCGATCTGCTTTATCCGATGATCCGACGCCACGTAGAGAGCCTTATGCTCCTTTGAGATTTCCATCGCCTGTATCGGCTCGCCGGGCGTGACGTCGAAAACGTCCAGCAAGATCGACTGCGACTCGCCGTTGTTGTCAACCCACTGCACAACCTTGTGAACGCGGCCGTCGCCTGTAACACGCGACGAAAAAGGGACGCGAGCGTTTAACAAATTCTCGTTGGGAGGTCGGCATCGAGCTGGGAGGAAGAAAATCTGGAGATCGCGCTCAAATTTCGCACGATTACACGGGAAAATGAATTCAGTACCGGCAGCAGAATAGAAACCAGGTGGGGACTCGGTGAGAAAAAATAAAAACTCGACGACAAGAAGTGACGTCTCTGTTACCGCGACGGAAAACGTTCAGCTGAACATTCCCGAGTCGGAATTTTAGTCCTACGTTACAAAATTCTAGTTTAGTTCTACGTTAAGTTATTTTAAAAGATCTTTGGAGACTTTCTATCGTGTTACTTTGATGTTGCAAATAAGTAGTTATTGCCGTTTTCTCTACTTGAAGACTTAATACACTGAGGAAAGGATTTGGTAATTATCAACAATTAAAGATTCGGCTAAACAGTTTCAACTAAATTGTTTGGTTATTGCAATCGTATCATTTAGTACTATGTACTGTATATAATATATAGTATTACAGTACACACAGTATATAGTACTAAGTGATACGGTAACCGAACAATTTAGTCGAATCTTGGTAATTGTTACCGAGTGTTTTTCTCAGTAGAACTAAAATTCAGACTCTGGAGGTCTCAACTCCCACTTCGAATTCATTAAAGGAGTTTATCGTGCATTTTTTCACGCTACAAATGGGAATTTATTATCATTTCCTTCATTTCGAGATTCAATGAAGAACTTAAAATTTCGACTCGGGTTTAGCTACATTAAAATTCCGTTGAAACAATTGAGAACAAAATTGACTGACTGGAGACTTTCTACAGAAATCTTTCTGTTTCCTACGAATGTTCGTTCGGTCCCCAAATAAAATTCAGTTAGACGAATGGAATAGTATTTTTCCGTGTAGATTTATCGAAGGGATGCTTACTGGATCCGGCGTAGTAGACCGTGTAATCCAAATCATTGCCCACGAAATCGATGCGCAGCTTGTCGACGACCAGTCGCGTGAGCATGACGTCCCGCTTGTAGAAGACCGGCTTCTCGTTCTCATGCGAGATCGCAGAGTCCATCAGCGGGTGGGATCTTATGAAATTCAGGACGGTGTCCGGCAGTGTTTCTGTGTCGTTAACACATTGGCCTGGCCGCGGTTCCGGAACCTTGTTGGACAAGACCGGCAGCCACGCGCTACTGCTGGTCGCTTGCTCTTTGAACTTTCCGCGAAAAGCCTCTTGGATGGCGTCGATGTGGAAGGAGCATATCGCGGAGCCCATTAAGCCATTCGTCGAGGTAGTGAAGGTGCCGTAGAAACGCGTGTCATCGCCCGGTACCTTGTAAATGCTCTCTGAGCGGTGGAGAAGCGCAATAACGTTAATTTCACGTCACGTTGTATAATGATATAAAAGCGTTTCTTTTTTGTTTTTCTTTTTCCCAAAAAAAAGATATTTCACGCATGTATCACCTCTAGATATGAATACAAATTGACATAGAAAATGGCCGTGAGAAGAATGATCGGCTCTGAACTTGGCAAGGTGATCGAATGAATTATTTGAATCACGTTATGTAACGAGAAACGTCGCGCGGCTGGTGTTTGATGCGTGCTTCATACTCACGTATTTCGTTGAAATAAAACGGGAACTCGCCGGGTATCGAGCAGTTCAACCTGGCCTTGAGGTACGTGGACCAATTCTGCGCGAGTATGTTTTTGCCGCCGGTGTCCCTCTTGCAAACTCGGGCCACGCGGGAGTACACACTCTTACCGCAGTTGATGTATTCGACCGCGGTCTCGCGGAAAAAGAAGAACACATGGTTGTCGATGTCGTACGAACCCACGAAATTCGGCTCTGGAAAAACGGAGAGAGAGACGGGGCCACATTACGCTTTACCGTAGAATTCTGACCCGATCGCCTCGACCTCCTCGGCGTTCGTTTCAATTCGCCTTTCAACACATACCTCGTCGTCGGAACGAGGACAGAGAGAGAGAGAGAGAGATATTTCCCAGCCGCAAAAGGGACAACCCGAAATATTCTCCCTAGCGAGCTTATGAGCTCGCGTAATCTAGCCGTTAGCATCTACCTCATTCTACGGCAAAATAACATCTAGACCGGATAGTTCGCGGAGGTAGCTCGCAATAATCGCGCGCAATAATAATCGCGAATCTTCGCCGCGACAATGTCCTTGTTCATTCGGCGTGTAAAAACTTTCATCGCCGGGATCATTTGAGCTCCGCTCAGACGCGGTTGACAATCTCTCCCCGAACTCCGTTTAACCGCGGGCGTTTCGTAGCGCTGCTACGATATTATTTTGCACCCATTTTAGGAGGAAACAGGGAGGGCAAAAAAGAGAGGACACGTAGGAGGATTAAATTGGAAACAACGCGCTTTGATTGCGTCTCTCTTTCTCGTTCTCTTCGCTACTCCCTCCTCTCTCTCTCACTCTCTCTCGCACGCGGAGAAACAACTCGGAGGGGAGCTGAATTCAATGAAAAAATAATTTTGCGAACTTGTCACTCGCAAACTTTCCTCTTCGCGACGAGTCTTAAAGTCCGTCTCACCGGACGCATAAATAACCGAACTCGCGTCGCAATTTACCCGAAGTCCCACTGGGCGAGTTGGAAAACCGTGCGGAATAAGGAGGGAAGAAAGAAAGAGAGAAATAGAGAGAGCGAGTGAGCGAGCCCCATTGAATCGGTTTTATCATCGCGACTCGCGTAGTTGAGTTATAAGTTATAAGTTCGGTATCATCTCCGAATGAGAGATAGGCCGAGGAAAAAGAGTCCGAAACAACTTCGCGCTGGCTGGGAGGCTGACGGTGAGGGGACGTTCGCGCGCGACTCGGCGGATATCGCGCTGCGGCGGTTAACGCCGCGTTTCTCGCCTCCGTCGGAAATATAATTTACCACGGATTAAGTGCAATTTATCTTGCCGTTCGCGCTCGTTGTATCTCAGCTTAATGGAGAACACCGGGAGGGATGCCGGGGAGGACGCGCGAAATGCGCGACACCATAAGTTATTCACGGCTTGTGACCGAAGTTGCGTCTGTTTTACGTTGTTTACGCTCGGTGCATCCTTGAAAAATCGCCGATAAACTTTGTTTATGCATCTTCAGGGATCTGTCCCGGATACCGACTCGCCGGGGTTGCGATATCCGTTCCTTCACCGTGATTGCTCGGCGAACGGTTCCGACCGACAAACCGAGAACGCTCGGGACGCGCGTTTAACGCGTTTCAAACTACCCCGAACGCTCGAGAGATCCCTAAAACGAACGTTTACGTGGGAATAACGGCGCGAAAGTTTTCGCCGAGCTTTTTTACACGACCGTCGTCGGCACGACGGGGATACAGTGTAAACGGTTACCGCTACTTTTCATTTAACACTGTCGAACTTGCGGAATTTAAGGCGACTTTAATGAGCATCTCCACTTGTCGCTTTACGATCCGACATCGTAAAATCCCTTAAACGGCTCACTCGTCGCGATCATTGGAACGTGGACAATTCCGGCGCGTCCATTTCCTGTTGTGCCGCAAGCTCTCGCCAGCATAGTCCGCGTTGTTCGTGAACAAACGCTCGAAAAGTCAGATCGCGGCGCGAAAAATCAGGGAATACAATCTCTCGGCGCCAGCGTTCGCTCGTCCACGCGCGGGGAATCGTCTTTTAATCTTGCAGTAATTGCTTGTTGCGCCGAGGAAACTGGTTTATCTCCGCGCACAGCGGCGGAGTCGGAGTTCGGTGACGCGAGAAAATGGCGAAGGAAATCGAATTTTTCCGCGTTCGAATCGCGTCGCGCCGGGGCTCTCGCAGTCAATTTTACATTATGCGGCGGCGCTCGGCTGGAGGCCGCGCCGCAATCTCTCTCACGGTTCAGCGATTAAATCGATTGTCCGACGCTTCGACGGCGGAAGTTTGATATATCGAGGCGGTGCAGAGCCGACGAAGGCAGGCTGAGAGGATGATACTTCGCGCGGCCGCGCGACGATGGAAAGTGAAGACCGCTGAAAGAGACGCGCGAGAAACTGTCACGCAGCGAGATGACTTGTGATCGCGCATCCCGACGAGCTAACGTCGAAGACGGCACATGACGAAGATGTGACGCGGAATGCTCGATGTTAGCGTCGATATCTCGTCTTGAGACGAACGTTACCTCGTAACAACTATTCGTGACCACTACTTCTCGCGTAAAAAAAGAAAGCAGCGGAAGGGACGGGTAAAATGGGCCGATTTTGACCCTCGGAGTGATAAGTAAGATTTGTATGCTTTTTTTGTAATTTATGAGTCACTAGCTTTTTTCTGGTTTCTGATCTTCGACAAATTTCAATTCGTCCGAAAAATATTAAGATGAACATGTAAATCCATTAAACTGTAGTACCGTAAATTATATTTACGGAATTACATTAAATAGCTTCGCACGCTGATTTTAATCCGTCCCTTTTTAATAAATTAAAATTTGTCGAATTGTCAGAATCAGATGCAGCAGTTCAGAAACTGCAAAAGAACATGCCGTTTTCACTTGCCACTTCGGGGGCTAAAATCGGCCCATTTTACCCATCGTTCCTTCTCAAAGCGGATTGACGATCACGGTCGAACGTCGTTTCACAAGATCCGCGAAAGCAGACGTTCGTCAGCTAGTTATTCAGAGCTTGTTAAGTCCGTCGCGTTCTACTCTCAATTTTTCTTCGTCTTCCTTTTCCCCCTCGCGCGACTCATCCCCGCGCCCGGTTATCACAGCCTCGCTCCACGAACCGCATCAGTCTTCATTGCGCCCACTTTGTCGACGAGCGCGCCGGAGAGAGAGAGAGAGGGGGAGAGAAGACGAAGAGGAGGAAGAGAGCCGCGAAGCCTGCGAGGAGAGCGCGCGTGAGGCCATCCGTCTCCTCCGGGACTCTCACCTGCATTTAATCAACGCCTCTGTTAATAGACAAACTCGGTGCGGAGAATGGTCCTTGATGGTGACGCTCGCAGTCGTCTCGCTCGGGGTCTGAACGAAGTCGGCGTAGAAGCAGGCGAGCGCGACGCCGGAGACGAGAGTAGCGAAAGGGCTGGCTCGAAATTAAACGACGAAACAAATGGCTAATCATGCGTCCCGCGGGAGGGCGCGAAGGATACAAAGTGGGACAAAGTCGTCCAGCCGCCCTCCGGCTTTTGCCGCTCCGGTCGCGACCCTACCACGACGACGGCTGAAGGAGCTCGAGTGGCGGCACGCTTCGCCGGAGTGAGGAAAAGCGGAAGCAGCCCCCCGAGAAATACAAAGCAGCCACCTAACCGTCTCGCGCCATTATTCCGCGCCGGCGTGCCGCGCGCGCGCGCGGCAGGATTGCGGTGGCGATGAGGACGGAGTTAAAATTAACTCTTATCCGGACAACCTACTTTTTTCCCCTCCCCTTTCCCGCCCTGTCGGAGGAAACGAGCAGTTTCCGCTAATTAGCGAATTAAAAATTTTTCGTCGACGGAAATTTCAACGTTTCCGTCGCGAATCATGCCCGGCGGAGGTGCGTGAAACGGTTTGTTTGTGTGCGCGCACGGTACTTCCTTCGGCGATCATTTTTTTTTTCCGAGCGTAGCCAGTCGAAGGGCTTCGGCGGAATTTCGATATTAAACGCCGGGCGGGTAACTAAATTTTCGACGTATTGCTCGCGCACCGTCACTGCCGACGAACCTAACGAATCGGATTCTATTTACACTTGATCATCGCAAATCAGCGCGCCCTGTCCCCGTACCCCCGGCCGGCCCGCGAGAGTTCCGCTATTAAATTCCATGTCGGATTGTGTGTGTGTCTATATTCGACGCACGTCCTAATCTACATTTTCCAATTTCCTTGCCGGGCCGCTCTTGCCGCGCCCCTCACGTTCGCGGCCCCGATAACGAAAAATCGAGAGAGAGTCGCAATAATCCCGGCCGACGAATCAGAGAGCCGGTAAAACTGATTAAAGCTCTCTCGGCCTGCGAACTACGGACCGGGAGGAGCAGAAGAGGGGGCTGACGGTGGTGGAGCGGAGGGGGTAAAGGGTGGGTGCGTTTCCGGCGGGAAAACTTTAACTTCTCCTCGGTCGGCTCGCTTACTTTCTCCCTCTCGGCCGAAGAAAAAGGGGAGGACGCTCGAAGAGCGTTTCTCCGAGCGTTTAGGACGAGAAAGATCGCGCGTCAGGGTGTTATTTTATTACCCCGCTCGCGTGGAGAGATCCGGCACCCTCTCTAACCAGGCCGATAGCGCGCACCTAGTGCCGACATCGCCCTCCAAACTCCTATAATTCTACTCGTGGCCCCGCCACCCCGCAGCCACCTCGTTTCCCCGCTTTCCCGGTCCTCGGCGCGTCTTTGGGGCGCGGGAGGCAAACGGTACCCTCGGAAAATAGGCGGGGCAGTTTATTCGCATCCATTCGAAGCGTGTTCCCGGCCGGGGTCCTACTTCAAAGCACTCTCCGCGTCTATTTCCTAAGCAGCCCTTCCCCCGAGTGGTTTCTTCGGAGAAGACTCGCCTCGCTTTTTAGCCGATTTCGGGCCGACCCCCGTTAGTGCTACGCCCCCTGAGCCTAATGGAAATTTCATTGTTGCCCCGACACGCCGTAATTATCAGGCTTCTCGAAGGTTTCTCTATGAAGCGCCGGAGGTCTAAATATATTTAGCAGAGCGGAAGAGGGTAGCGGGCGGCGAACGTGACGATCAATAGCGACAAGAGGTAGACGCGATTACGGAAAATAATTTGCTCTATCGGAAGAAATAACTAGTAAAGTTCGGGCACGTCGAAGTATTACCAAGTTGTTACGCACCGCTCCATTCGAATCGGTCGGCAGTGTCGGTTAGTCTATTAGGTATCCCCAGCGACAATAACGCCGGTGGAGAAAGAGGTACTCACTGTCGAGCCACTTGGAGTCGTATTTCAGCGTCCTCTTGAAGCTGAACGCTTTGCGGCCGGTAGTCAAATTGTAGAGATCCGTGCGAAAGATTACAGTATCGGCTTTGGTGAACTCGGCGTTCGTGCCGGAATAAAGAGCCGGCAGGTCCCCGGGATTGCCCTTTTCGACCCAGACCGCCGTCGAATTGTCCGCAGGGTCGTAAGGGCACTTGGCGATGCCCATTCCCACCCCCGGGACAAACTCGTGGCGCGGTAAGTGAGTCAGATTGCTCTGGAAAAAACGTCATTCGAGGTCAGACAAGCAGGTAGCTACTAAGCGCTCACAATAAGATCTGCTATAAATTAAGAAAGAGGGATGGGCTACGGTGCGAGAAGGGTTTCTTTAAATCTGAATTACCCGGCTACTTCATTCGGGGGCCAATAAAGTTATGAAACGGGACGACGTTTAATTAAAATTTTTTTTTCAAGAAACAATCCGCCTTTAAGTCGGTCAAAAGAATTCGCGGATGAAAGAAACGGCGATAATCTCGGGACGCGTCGTGTAATTAAGTTTATGGTATTACTACAAGATAGAGAGGCACGGAGATCTTGCCGCGAAATCTACGAGATTTACAGCTCGCAATGTACTCTCACATCCGAATATCTTCAGGTAATCTAACTTTATTTTGTACCCGTGTAATAATCTCAGACGGCAGATCAAGCGCGCGCGGCCGGACGTTATTATTACGTGAGATGTCACAACACACCCGTAATGTTCGGCAAAGCGCGACGATATATATATCTCTTCGTGTCGTTACACGGATACTTAAACGCAAGATTTCATACTGCTGCGTGCGTCAGTTCCGCGCACTTTTCGCAAATCGTATCGCGCGGATTTCAACAGTGCGATAACACATGTAAATTTTCATTAATAACAGCATTATTCATTACGGCTTTAAATATTTCGACGGGAATTAAATTGGAACGTATCGTAGGAATGCGTGAGTGGCGGCGAAATTTATTCGTTACGTGAAAATTAATTAACGATATTATTTTCAGATGCCTCCTCTCTCACGCGCGCGCTCCGTTATTAATTAATTAAATTAAGCGTAAAGCAGCACAAATCGGTATGCCTTGCGCGCATCGCATTGAATCCGTAATACATTTCAAGGGAAGTTGCGGACGCATTCGATATATCGTTTTACATTTTCAATAAACAAACGTCAGCGGCCGTTTAAACACAGACATTTTTTTTTTAACTTTGTGTCAAGCCGATCGTTATTTTTAACAATCTCGCAAACCAATCACGAACTGTCGCGTGTTACGTTACAAAACAAAATTTTACAAATTTATTTGATACACGTTGTTATTTATCAAGTATAAAAGAGTCAGATGTTACGAGGAAGCTCGAAACGAGATATTTGTTTCGAGCCCCGATGTGTGATCGAGAAAATAAAAACGACGATAAATCGCTCGCGTTAGAGTGAAGGAAGCAAGGAGTTGACGGCACGTACCATTCGCGTTTGCGTAATTTAAAATACTGGAAAATGACAAATCATTCCTGAAGCACATGCATATATTACGTCAAATTCCCCCTGACTGATAATACACGAGTAACTTACGTAAATCACCCAATCTTTGGGCGAATGCGCGTTCGTACCGCACATGTAAAGCCGATTGCCGTCTCCCATTGGCTGTATCACTCTTATATGGTTTCGGCAGTCGAAGTGCTGGAAAAAAAGAAAGGAGAGGAGAGAAAATTAAATTTGGTAGCACGACGTGTGCGATGCCGACGACGAGAACGAGAGAATAGTCGCAGGCGGCGCAACGGGACGCGAAAGACGACGACGACGACGACAGTTCAATATGCTGTCGCACTTCGGACTTTTCGGGAAAAGCGGGAAAAACGAAAGAGTCGTCGTGCTGCGGAGTTGTCGCGCGGTCGATCACGTCGCGCGCGTATTTCGCGGCGAATCGGTGCGCGGGAAATGAATTGGCTTTGTCGTCACGTAGGGAATATTTGCGTGGACCTTACACCTCGACGACGACGCGTACACGGTGCATACGAATGAAGCCGTGATAAGCGCGCGCTAAAACCGTGCTTTTTGCGAGCTGTGTAGCTGCGTTTTCTCGGCCGTGCACCACCCCGAAGTATGAATAAAAATGGATGCGAGCGGAGCGTTAAACGACGTCCCTCGGTTAACCCTAATTTGCGCTATCGGTCGACAAATTTCTCTGACATAGCGACACGTTCACGCGCGTCACTGCGAGATTCGCCGGTTCGAATAAAAATAGGCGATCTTTTTGGGGAGGGAACTTTAAATATACCGGTTCCGAAATTAGAGCGCAACGCACGGCGAGAGGCTCTGACTGTTCTCGGATTACTTGAAAAGAGGAAGCGATGCGGTAATATCTGTTCGCGTTAAGGATACAAACGAGATACGGGTTCTTTCTGCGGATTTTCGAGCCGCACCGCGGTGTCTATTAAAGAGCAAGCTCGCACGCCTTCTGTTTCGCCTTTTCGTGTCCTCAAAGAAACCGATTCTTTTATTTTCCCACGTTGTTTGCGACTCTTATCCTACTCCACGGCGTTCGACGGCCTTTCTCTGCAATCACAATTCCGCGCTGCTTTCGTTTTGAGGTCGCGCTCGTGCCAGTTTGCCAGTGGCGGAATTAAAATTCTTTGCAAAGACGGCGGCGCGAAACGCGAAATGAAAGGGGAAGAGAAGACGCGTATCAAACCGCGCGACAAGATAACTTACCTCCGATTTGCCTCTGGACACGCAGTTCGCAACGTTACTGGGTTCCAGATTTAAAGCGTCTCTCTGAAACACGAGAGAACAAACATAAAACAAATTAGAGAGTTATTCGCAAGATGCGATCAAGCTATCGGTATCATCTACAGATGAAATTGCAAACTTATTATATGTAGGGGCAAGATGACGATCTTAAAGTTTGTCAAGTTTTTCCTCACTTTCGTAGTAAGTAGAAGATCAATTTTTTTTCTAAGCAGTTAAAGCCTCACCATATGCATAAACTGAACAATTTATAAATAAATGAGGATTTTGTTTAATTTAAATTTTTCGAGAACATGTCAATTTTGTCATCATATTATCTATTTATAACATCATATTATTTATCGTGTCGACAGATTGAAGTCAGACTAAATTATTATTATTAAGAGCCTCTAATGAGTTAGTCATCGGCTCGTTACTTATTATTAGCTTAGAAAAATTTGCAAATCGTCATTTCATCCGCTTCTTTATTCTACCCTATTTCCCCCCACATGATATTCGCGTTCTGACACTTTTTTCCGATACTCAAAATACCGGATGTATTCGCACTGTGATGCCGAGAGAAGGGAAATTTTATTGCCGAGCGTGGCGCCATAATTACGCGACTTTCGCGGGAAATCGGGCACGATTGTCTCTCTTGGCAAGCGGCCCCTTTCTTACGGACGGCCGCTCGACACGCTCGACCTTACGAGAGGCGTCACGAGTGCGCACTTCACATTTTGCAAGCTCGGTGTGTTGCGAGACTGCCACGGCCCCTCGTAACGCAGCGGGAAAGGTGCTACAAACGTGCCGGAATAAGGTCAATATTCGGGTCAAAAGGAGGGAAGGAGACTTGAGTGAAAATAAAGCGAGTGTATATTCCCCTTCTTCCGTTCTTCAAAACGCGTCTCCCCCTCGTTTCACGGACGGCGGGCACGCGTGACATATCCCACGCCGGCTTCGGAACGCGACCCGGTGTAGTCCTTGCGCGAAACTATTCGGGGGAAATTAGTTTCGCGAGCGTGTGCATCCTTGCGACATTCCGTTCCATCTCCCTTCTCTCTCGCGCGCTATTTTCTCTCTCTTTCTCTCTCTCTCTCTCTCTTCGCCGGATGCATTCTCGTGCACGCCTGTAGATACGATCGCAGGAAGTGGTTTGTTTGCACAGTCAATCGTCCGAAACGCGTCGGACCTAACGATCGATCTCCTGCGGACGTCGCGTGCCGCTCCCCGGGAGTGTCACGGCCAGAAACGGCGTCGATCCTCGACATTGTCCCGGCCGAACGTAAGGGTGAGCCGAAACAGCATACGCCGACGTTGATCTACGGCCAATAAATTACCGAAAGAATCGCATCGGGCGACGAGCGCTATGGCAGAGAGTCATATCGAGAACAGAAAGAGAACATTAAATCACGGCGGTTTCCACGGGGCGCGTTATCCGTGCGATGTGAATCAGCACTCCTCGGGAAGCTCTCTCTCTCTCTCTCTCTCTCTCTCTCTCTCTCGTCGCGGCCGGTTTCGCATAGAAAACACCTTGGATTTGTGATCCGTAAAATAAAAGTAGTAGGAACGCGTGCGGCTAAATTATGAGGATGCGAATAAACTAGATCCATAACGGTTGACGTCCATAATTGGAACTTTATTCGATATTACACTGAACATCGACTCAACATAAAATATTGAGATGACAAACAGAACATAAATTAACACGCGGATATGTAAATGTTTGTGTTAGAAATTTAACAAAAATTTTTTTAACAGGGACCGATTTTAACACACGTATAAAATGTTCTCCACTGTGTAAAATCTACTTAGAAGTGTAATGTTTCAAACATATATATCTAAGTGGGAAACAAACAGATCCTATTTAGTCATTCCAACGTTTTCCCAAAGATTTTTCTACTCCCCATCTCACACGCTACGCACGCGCTATTCAACACAGTAACATTAAAAATGTAACCCCGTTTATTAACCTTCTAATCTGATATTCTGTCAAATTGTCACTGGACTCTGGTGATAACATCGCACGAAGCCACAGCGGCACAGCCAATCAGCACCGCGGGAAAGGGGTTGCATTTCGCCTTAGGGGTATGAATTTAGGAATCCAATGTTTGGGATTCCCGATTGGTATCGCAACGGAATAACTTATTTTGCAGCTATTTTGGGTATTCTAATCGGAATTTGTGCGCGGGGGAAAAATCTGGGAAAATTTTTATGCGGTATTTCGAACGAAAAGAACGTATCGATCGTGCGGCAGGTCGCGCGCGCGCTCGTTCTCGTCGTTTTCGCAATTACACGTTCCAAAAAGTGAATGAACTTCGCGCACTCCTCGCCAAGTCCGTAACGCAGCCCGTGAAATGCCCGCAATGCGGAGCAGATAAATATACAATATTGTTTCTACGCACGAGTCGCCGAACTCCGTCGGAAGTCACATCCCGCGCACAATTTGTGGGATAGAATGTACATTGGCGGGAATCCAGAGGCGGTTCAAGTGGATACGACGAGCACGATTCACTTTGGCGCGCGAGGGTATAGACACGGTCGCGATATTCTGAACGGACTTGGAGAGCACCCTATTATAAACGTAATCCACTTACAAATAGCGCGGCCACCGCGCGTCTGCTCCGCGCGCGCGATCATCCCGCGAAGTACCGCGGCAACTTCGACTGTGGAGTTCGCGACGAGTGCTGCGAAAGTGCTGCTACACGCGGAACACAACGTATGACACAGGTGATAACTGCTCGCGCGCGGGGTCGTCCTCTCCTCCCCGTGTAGAAAATTTCCTGGCCTCTAATTGAAATTCAGTCCGATTTCTCCAAATAATTGTGGATTCTGTCTGGGATATCTACATAGATTTTCTCTCGTTTAGGTTGGAAGTGTAATGTTCCACACATATAATTCTAAGCGGGTGGCACAAAACATAAATCCCACCCGCAAGATTCTCTGCCGCTTTCCATTTTACGCTGGAATTGGATGAAATATGCGAAACATTTTGAGCGTTTGCACTTTACAAGTATAGAAAACTCTACTAATGCCGTACAATTCATTAGTGACACCGAACATTTCCAATCAGGAGCATTTATATGAGAATATCCGTGCATTATGGCTGATAATTTGATGAGCCGGCAAGGATGCTTCTTCAAAGTAGCGGTTATAATGCACAAATATTGAAAAAATTATGCGTCTAATTGGAAATTTCCAATGTTACTGTGCTTAGGGAAGGAGACAGCACCAATGGAATCTTTTGTACAGATGCACGTTATAGATCTATCTTAATCATAGTAACGTTAAAAATATTACCCTGTAATTTTTTTACTTTCTCACCTAATATTCGGCCAAACTGTCACTCAATTATTGCACGAAACAAGCTGCAGCGCACAGCCAATCAACTTCGCGGAAAAGAGGCCGGGTTTATATTGGATTGGGACAAAAGTGAGATTCTTCATTGGTATCATAGCGAGATAACCTATTTACGGACAACTTTATATATTCCGGAATCCATGCTGTGTATCTGGGAAATCTGGGGAAACTTCTCGATGCAGGTCTCAATGACAACCCACCGATCCGCACTCGACTGTCGTTCTTCGCCGACTGTTCGCCCAGTCGGCAAGACTCGCGACTAGGCCCGCTCGCGAATTCCACCTTGGACGCACCGTTAAAATCATTTAACGACCCGAACTCTCCTCCCCGCCTACCCACATAGGCATTGATAACGACGTATTACTCATTAAGTACCGCGGTGTATTAAGGCGCCGGTGTACACAGCCGGCTCGGCGGTAATTAAAAGCGGAGCAATTCCCGGTATCCGCGCTTACCCGTAAACTCCGGCGCGGATCTCCTCGTTATACTAATCATTACAATCCGGCCGTGAACCCCGGCGCGATGCCGGGAGAAGCACGAAGACGACGAGGAATAGCGAAAGGTGCGGTCGGGAAGTGGATGGAGAATCTCGCGAGATGATGAAGATGAGAAGAGAAGCGGGGAGAGGGAGGAGAGAGAGAGCTTTTCTATGACTCGAGGAGACGATAATACAATTCGCGTTGCCTCCTGCGCATATACACGGGCATTAACGTAATGTCGTTTTCAAAGCCGACCGCACAGGTCATAAAGGATTACGATTTCGGCCGAGTTGCTTGTATACGCGTCCGCTTTTAATTAAAATACGACTGGCGATGGCGTTATCCGTTCGGCGACGCGTGTCGTCGTCGACTTTACGCGGCCGGGCGGGCGTACGCGAGCTGCCGTTTCGACGAAACCGTAAAATTGGATCCGACATTCCGGCCTGGATCCAGCCGAGACGACGAGAGAGCTTGGGAAACTGATGAAAAATCGCGTGAAAAATCTGGAAGGAAATAGACGCAACGCAACGGTTGCACGATGGATGACACGCGTGTCCCTCCTCGGGTTTAAAAGCCGGAGGTCGCCGGATCCTGATGGGTACGCAACTAGGTGCAGCTGTCGGCAATAATATTATCGCCAAGCCGTGATGCATCATTTTATCACGCCGCCTACGACGCCATTACCTTTATAGCGGCAGAGCGTGCCTACCGGCATGCAAACGCCTCGACTTCCATTACCGGCATGATACGCCGACTATTAAACAGAAATATCTGCCATCATCTTGGATGCCCTGCCCTAGTCTCCAGGAATCCGCGTCACCGCGGATTTTCCCCTTATCGTCCCGTCCATCGGGTTTAAGCGTCGCGTTATCTTCTTTTCCGCGTATCGGCAATGCTTTTAATCAAACTCTGGCTAATCTAACCGACGATTTCATAATTACGGTCGGTCGAGTAAAATTACCCGCATAGAAAATTTCTCTCGGCGTCTAATTGGGATTCAGTAATTATGGATTCTAGTTGAGTAGCACAGATTCCGGGTAGAATCGTAATGTTTCAAGCGATTCTAGAGGGGAGACAAACAGGTCCTATTTAGTCACCCCCAACGTTTTCTAAAAGTTTTTACTGGTTTACATTACGATTGAATGAAACAAAATATATATAACACCGCCGTGTCTATCGGTAGGTTGAAGAAAATGGCTTTAAAAATTCTCC